AGTTTCAGAGTTTCCCCTGCTCTCTGCTTGTACCAGTGAATTTTACTGCTTAAATCACCAGGAGGTAAAACACATGTCAAAGTTACAGGTTCACCAAGTTGAACTGTGGCCACTTGCTCCAGCATATCTGCAGTGAGTGTAAACAAAACACATGTTAAACACTATAGGGAAAAAAACATTAACCATTACACATCTAGGTGCATTGCAAATTCCTAAATGACAAAAAGAAAATAGATCATAATTAGACAGAACTCACCTCCTTGGTGAAGAAGAAAAACGAGTGTTACCCAAACCAGAGTCATCATCGCAATGTCTTTACTTGAAAACATTTCGACATTTCAGTGACAGAGGGAGATGATGCGACCCAGACCATCACTATCTGATTGGTTATCGCAGTCTTTACAGTCAAAGCCTATTTCCTGCCACACGGGTATTGTCCTGCATTGTGTGAAAAGAGGGAGAGACTAAAAATCTGTGACAGCACAAAACTCTTTATTACTATTGTGGTAACACATTTTCTTTGATTCAAGTTTTGCAGAGCCAACTAAACCATCAAAAACCTAGTACTGTTGAGCATGCTTTGTAGTAGACCACTCTGGGGGGTTTCAGTGTAACATGAAAATCTTTCATTTTGAGTTTTGTCATTATTTTAACTTTGAACTTATAACCCAATATGAGCCAAATGTGATTTTTTTAAACCAATGAGAGGTGTTTAAAGTCTTATCTAATGCCATCATTTCACCTCTTTCACACAGTGAAATACCAATAAGGTGTCACACCGGCTGCAGCAGACGGTGGAGAATGGAGAGTGGAGACCCAATTGCAGACAATGGAGACGGAATTGAATATAAACAAAAATGAGGCTTTATTTCTGGCTGCACAAAAATAGAAAAAAACAAAAGAAGACTGAGATTAAACTAACAAAACCTAAACTGGGAAAAGCTAAACCGAAAACACTAGGTGCATAAAGAAAAGTACAAAAACCTTAAATGCAAAACCTGACACTTGGGAAACATGAAGAAAGATGAGCAGACAGTTCAACAATAGGCAGCAGAAAACAGAGGACTAAATATACAGAGGATAACGAGGGAATGGGAAACAGGAGGGAATCACAGCTGGAACTAATCTGACACAACGAGACAGGGAAAAGTGTGGTCGCAAATTTTGAAGCCATCCTGATAACCTTCTCCCACCAACGATGTGGAGATCCAACCTCTTTAGATCCAATTAAAATCAAGACACTCAAAAAGATGCTCTGGAAAAGAGTAGAATTCTTGGAACAGAGTTTAATACACTGAATCATATGAACAGCAGGAAAAATACATACAGACATTTAGCAAGAGAATTACATAGCAGAAAGCAAGCAAAGCAAAACCCCGGGGTGTACAGCCTTAAGCACAGACAGCAGAGCAACACAGAGACGGACAGAAAGTAACAGCAGAGGGGAAAAAAGAGTGCTGGGGGTGTCCTCTGGTCCCCTAATATATAGGGACCAGTATCCCAAAAACAGCAGGTGCAGGTGCATAATGTGTGTGTGTGTGTGTGTGTGTGTGTGTGTGTGTGTGTGTGTGTATTATATCGTATGATCCTTAAGGTGATTTCATCATGATGTGTTCAGCAGTATCTCTGTTACAATGTTACTGTTTTGGTTGTGCTGCATGAAAGACATTTTGTGTGTATTAGGGGGGAGTTAGTTACTGGAGCTGGAGAGTGAGTTATGAGTTCAGAATGAGAATGAGTTCAAGAGAGTTCAACAGCATTAATTGCCCTGTTATTGTACAACCTTAATAAACCATGGTGAAGCAAAATGTCTTGTGTGTAAGACTATGTGAAAGTTAAAATATATATGTTCAGTGCAGTTAGATATATAGTGTATATAGTTACATAGGTATACATGTCCTCCAAAAATCCATTATCAAAATAAAACAGGAAACATTAGACACACACTAAGACATCGGCTTGACACATGATGCGGGGGAAGAAACAGACATGGAAACACAACCAACTGGCAAGACAGAAAGGAAAAACAGAAAACAGACACAGGAGATAAACGAACATGAAGACAAGGGAGACTAGACATGAAAGGTGGAATACAGGGGCGGCACAGTAACAGAAGCTAAAGACTAGAAACTACAAAATATAATCAGAGAATAACTGAGAAAACTAGAAATGCAAACAACTCCACCATGAAAAACTATATATAAAGAATATTCATTAAACCGTGGCTCAGGGGGTTGGGAAGCGTATCTGTAACCGGAAGGTCGCCGGTTCGATCCCCGGGCTCTCTGTCCTGGTCGTTGTGTCCTTGGGCAAGACACTTTACCCTACCGCCTACTGGTGTTGGCCAGAGGGGCCGATGGCGCAATATGGCAGCCTCGCTTCTGTCAGTCTGCCCCAGGGCAGCTGTGGCTACAACTGTAGCTGCCTCCACCAGTGTGTGAATGTGAGAGTGAATGAATAGTGGCATTGTAAAGCGCTTTGGGTGCCTTGAAAAGCGCTATATAAATCCAATCCATTATTATTATTATTATATAAACACTAGGTCCACAGACCCAGGACCGTGACATAAGGTCCACAACAAGTACAAGCCTGAAGACGGCTTTCTAGGCTCCAGTTCTTTTTCTTCATCAAGGATGTGAGAGTTCTTTAATTTTGCACAGAAATATTCTAAAGTGAGAAGTTACATGTCAAGTAGATTTGTGGAGAATAACAGAAAATAATTTTGCATTTGAGAATTCCCACATTGTATAATTATTTATTTTTTATTTAGTTCATTTATAAGAATCCAAATCACAACAACTATCACCTCAAGGCTCTCTGTATTATAAGTGCTTTATATTTACATTAGAGAGAAAACCCCAAGAATTACATGACTCCCTATGAGCACTTGGTGATACTGGGAAGAAAAAACTCTTTTAACAAGAAGAAACATCCACAGAGTCAGGATCGTGGGTCTTTTGACCCAGCGTTTTGAGTTTTAGTTTATGTTTAAGCCCTTTTAGTTTTCTGAGTGTTCACAGTTTTCTTAGTTTTCATAGCTTCATGCTTTTTCATGTGCCAACATCCAAATAAAGGATCGTCTTCCGTTCAGCCAGCAACTCCGCCTTTTAGTGGCTGCTTCTGGGTGCTGTAAACTAAACTTATCGGCGCACCCCGCCGTGACACACAGAATCTTTCTGATTAAGTTGGATCTTATAAATATCATCTAAACATTGTCTACAATAGTGAGATAGACGCAATTAATATGAGAAAACAGATGTCCTTGAGAAGAGACGTCTTTGTTGCATCTTTGCGACTACACTAATGTTGGGACTTACTACTGCCTTTTGGCCACATATGTGAAGAAATTAGTTGGACAGATTTGCAAGCTACAAATCCATGATGTGAATTTCCAAGTGTTCTATTCAATTGCAATTTGATGAGATCATTTGAATACAGTGTATTCATTGCTCAAAAAACAGTTTACGATGATCTGAGATTCACGACAGGAGAAAATCGGTACATAGTGGTCAAAACAGCATCTACATTGTCAGCAACTCAGGTAGACTATGGGCTTTAAGTGATGCTTAGTTAGTCCTAAGGCCTTATAGTACCACCAACAGTCAGACGTTGCTGCCATGTAATGAGGGCAAAGAGGAACAAAGGGGAAGGCGTATATACTGCATGTCATGTGAATTTGTATTTTATGTTCTAAAACATTTTGGAGTTAAAATCACACTGTGGGTTATTCTAGATATGTATGTCTAGAGATGTTTATTGCATAAACACATGTTGATCACATTTTGTGTTTATCTAAACTTATTTTATGCATGTTTTTACAATGAACAAAACCTTACACAGACAGAAAAAAAGTAAAGCAAATCAAATGCACCTGTTTCAATTTATTTGTTGATTTTCTTCACTGACCCAAATGCAGGAATCAGGAGGCAGAAATAACTGAAAACCCTTGTTAGAGTCCAACCGACAAGAAACAAAAACAATAACTGGGTAGGGCAGAAGCTAAACAAAACGAAAACTTGGACTCAAGAAAAACACAGAGACGAACACATATGAGGAATGAGGGACAAAGACAATTTTTACATAAGAGAACGTTTTTGAAATGACTAATCAATGACGAGGACAAAGGAAGCAAAACTGAACCTAATGCACAAGTTTCAAGAGACTGCCAAAATAAAACAGAAAGTAACTAACAATAAGATCAGTCTAAGACATGAACTTGACAGAACTAAACAAGGACCACAGAGACAGGACAATGGAGACCAGATAGGCACAAGGAGACAGAAAGACAAAGTAAATTACAAACAGACTAGAAACAGTGGCTATACTACATGGCAAATGAAAGCAACCTACTAGTATTACCAAAGAAGCTAGGCCTAAACAAAAATCACAAAAAGCAAAACCCCTCCAAAAACTCAAACACTGGGTCAGACGGAAATGACCAGGAATACAGGGGGTCATTAGTGAGATCAACGCTCTCCAAATCAACGCCAGAAGACGAAGGAGTTGGTAATGGACTTCAGGAGGAAGTCTATTACCATCACTACACACTCGGTGAACATCCAAGGAAAAGACATTGCGACTAGTGGACTCTTACAAGTACCTGGGTGTTCACCTCAACAATAAACTGGACTGGACTACAAATACAGAGTTCCTGTATAGGGCCAGGTCGACTCCATCTGCCGAGGAGACTCGAGGTCCTTCGAAGTCTGCAGGACTTGCTAAGGACATTCTGATGACACTGTGGTAGCATCCAGCCTTTTCTATGCAGTGGCCTCGGGACGTGGAGACGTTGAAGGGGGAGTCTAGTGTCGGATGCCCGAGTCGTGTAGTGTGGGCAAATGTTATAGGCATCGTGGTACTAATAGAACGTAATGTCGTTATCCCCCCCAATCAAGCCTTTAAGTGCTAGAGCGTTTTTCTTATTTTAGGTGACTAATAAAGCTGGCCATGGAGTGAGCTGAGGTGAATCAACCACAGCAACTATTAACCCTTTAAAGCCGGTCGGAGCGGGCACGCTCCGTTTTGCGTAACTATTTTTAAATCCTCTGTAGAACCAGAACCGCGTAAGCTAGCGCAATAATTTTTTTTGCATATGAAACCGGAGGAGTTGTACTTACATCTTATGCCATCAGCTTGTCCTAGGTCACGGTTTCCTTCCACATATAGCTTTGCAAAATTGCATAAAAAGCCTTGCAGGAACAAAAACATAATATTCCAGAAACACGCTTTGCCGATCCGATCAGCTGTTCGTAACACTTCCTACGTTGAAACAGACATCAAAATAAATTTTCTGTTGTTGTAAACTATTTTTTGCAACTTTTTTGTATTT